CCCCCGACGTGTTCCAAAAAGGAACGGATCGGCGATGTGCGGAACCTTCCATGGACCAAGCGATCGAGCATGGAGGAGGTCGCATGCCACCGAGAGATCGCGGCCTACATCAGGTATACCAACAATACATGCGTAGTTTTTTTTACTTTCGCCGACTTTTGAGGCACACATGTATGCCACAGCAGTTGCGACCATCGTTGCTGTTCGCCATACTCGTGTGTTCCGGTTGAGCGCTGGCAGGGTTGAAGTTCTTGTGCTTCTGTCCCATCTGCTGCTGTTAGATACTGTGGATGGATTTTCTTAACGTTTCGACCATCCTCTTTTGTGAACCTCTCTCGGGGAGCTGCCGACCGTAGATTCACTCTTGATAAATTATGTAATCTAGAACAGCTGTTGCAAAGAGGGTGGGTTCCAAAGTGCCAACATTTCTCCTGTTTTGTTTAGCGTATGAACTGGTCTGTGACGTTTTTTATCGCGTGGTTCGTCAGGGAGCACGTGCTCAAGCTAGAGGCGGTGGCCAGGAAGGACTACTACGGAGACGACCCGGACGCGTCTCCGTACGCACTGAAGTAGAACCGCGTTCCCTTTCGGGTTGGTTGCGAAGGAGCAAAGGGGGGGCTTTGGTACTGGTTCCCTTGTCCCGCCGATTTGTGGGGGGAAGTTTCCGACTTTTCGCTGCCAGTCGGTTTTTGGAGACGATGGAGCCAGAGGCTGTGCACTCACGATTTGCGCTGCTTTTTTTTTATGTGATTTTACTGTGTTTTCTAGTTGCTTTTTGCACGCTTGTGGACATGTATACTGACAGCGTCTCATGTACGTAGCTTACATAGGCCTCGCATGAGGGATTGTTGTAGAAGAAATTCCAATAGATCTCTGGTACTGACGATCGTATAGAGCTTGTTGGGTGCCAGTGTATAGATCATGTACAGATTTCCACTTGCTAAAGGGTGGAACATGATGACGTCCATCGCAGGGAGAGTAGGACGTTTTCCTGAAGGTGCGGAGCTTCTCGTGCACTTGGTGTGCAGGTGGCCACAACCGCGAGTTTGGCATGTACCCACTAAGAACTCGCGTACCACCTATGTACGCCTCGTGTAGGTATCTACTTGTTCGCAAACGTGATTTTTTCTTGTACTAAGTAATATAAAGAGCAAGTTGTAAGGAAAGAAAATGTTGGCTCGTATCTCATGGTAGAGTTTATCACATACCACTTCATAGAATTTAGATACTTTGGTATTATTTCTGTCGGTTAGGATGAGACGCTGTCAGTGAGTGTACCAGTGATCCATCGTTTTTTTTGTCTGCATCGCCGCCCCTATACCCTTGACGCCGGTTGCGACAAGCTTTCCTGCTGGTGTTGTCAGTATCGAGTGACGGGTCGACAGCGGTGCACAGCAATGGCCCGTCAACTCTTGGCTTCAAGCGTACACTTGGAGTACCGTATCTTAAGGGACAACCTCAACACTCTTGAGTGGGAGAAATCATCGTTTGTTTACGTTCGGAATGCAGAGTGCCTCGCCACTGCTGTCGCAGTGTTCATCGACTTTTCTGCGCGCTCTCTCCTCATTTTGCCTCATTCGTACTCTTCCGGGAGTGCCACCGCTGCTGACTTTTTTTTTTAGTTGGTTCTCGAAGCCCAACTCCCCGTGTTTTCCTCAACGAATGGATTCCGTTTGGTACCTCCTCTATCTACGACACCCCGTGGCCTCCAGTATACGAAGATATGGCGCTGGCGCCGTCTGAGGCTACTTTTTGTAGGCGGGCATGTTCTGCCACGAACAAGGCAGAAAAAATTATTCTCTGCACGTCGGTACATTTTTTTTTTTCTCCTGTCATTGCACTTTATCGTCTGCCCCTCTGGCCCCTATCCTCCACTACTTTCTACTATTAGCTAGACGACCCAATCGGGGTCACATAGGAGGGGGAGGCTGGACCCCCTCCTGCGGTTCCTGGCTGAGGTATTTGTATCGCGAGAAGGGTTCAGTAATCGCTTCCCTCGCGAGTTACGAAGTCGATTATGGTTTACTTACAACGAGCTTTGCAACGCATCGCTTTCATCCTAGACCAGGATTTATTTAGTGAGAAAAACATGTACCCATTTGGTTACCCATTTGGTTCGTAGACAAACAAAATCGTTTCTGCGGGCGAGAGAAAAGGCACACAGCAGTTACCATGGTGTCACTACTTGTCGTCACGATGAACGAGAATATATACTGTAGTACACACAGCAGAAGTGTTTTTCTCTCCCGCTATCTTCTTATTGTAGATCTCACACACCCTTCAGGCCTAACCACTAGACTACATATGGCTGAAGGTCTGTAGTCTATCCAGCCTTCCCCACAACTGCTTTTTTGGTCGCGCATTCTCCCTACTCCTTCATATCACGAATCAATGTCTCATCTCATTGCTCAGCCCGGCGTACCCGTGAAAATGATACCGTGGGATTCATGACGTCGTTCGTCCTGCACTCAGTACGAGCTGCCCATGCGTGTCTTGTCCGTGCTAATCCAGGAATCACGAGCAGCAGCGTTGGCTCTTGGTGTTGGTGTGTGCTTGCATCCGTGTAGAACCCGCAGGCCCGATCCCCCCCAAACGGAAAGAGGCGTTGCGTCACGTCTGAATACAGTCCCGTATGGGGTGCATGGGGGTGCACGGGCAGTGCACGGGTGTGGGTGTGCCGTAGTTGGCTGTAGGCACGTGTAAATATCGGCTCAGGCTGAGCACTGAGCACCTCATTCCCATCCAAGTGCCCCTCTCTTCTTTCTCCAGGCTAGATCCCTTACCAAGCTGACCCCTTCTTCGTAAACAACCACGTGTCCGAACGTCGTCCGCTTCGGCTGCGGCCTCTCGCCGGCCTGCTCCCGGGAGGCACACTGAACAACGACGCACCTTACGATGCGTCTGCTGTGTTGGTCACCGTACTTGATGGTGTGCTACTTGCTACCGGCCCATGGCTTCGTGCGGCAGCGCTTCAGAACGAGAACGGGTCCCGAGGGACACCGTACGGGGTACGGACGCGGTGGTACCTCGACTGCCACATCGACTCGACCAACAACAATAATAGCTTGTGCGGCGTCGTCAACAACAGCGGTGGACAGCAGTGCCGTCGAGGATAAACATATGTCATGCTCGTCGTTCCGTCACTGTAGCACAGTTTATATCGAGATGACCGACATGTGAGTGTGGCTGCGTTCCCCGCTGCAAGTGGTCTGGCATCCATGTAAAGTGTGGGCGAACGTTGTGCGGTTGTGTACTACTTGTAGTGCATGCCATGCTTTTTGTGCGGAAGCACTGGCTCTGGTAAATACTGCGAAGAAGATATTCAGAACACGTTGGACCTGTGGCTCACACGTCGGTTGCTGTTCAGAGGAAACATGCCGGCACGGTGTCCGTTATGTGATGGTTACTCTGGCTGTTCCTTCGTGGGCCAATCTGTTTGTTGCATGCTGCTGTGGATCTTGTTCGGTCACCGAGGCATTCCATTTAGTCAGCCAATCACGGCAGTCAGCTCCTGGGAATCTCCTCTCGTTATATCGGTTTCTCTGTGGAAAGGAAGCCGTGCATTTGCCTTCTTTCTTGACCTTGCTTTTTCCTGCGGGTCCAACAGCGGTTGTTCTGTTCAGATATCTCCCTACCACAAGTATTGTTCACCACGAGAAGAAACAGCACGCGCGAAAAACATTTTTTTTTTCTAATTACTGTAAGACATTTTTGCATGTTGCCCGCATGTTTGTTTGTGTTGATCCCGTCTATTCTAGAAGCCAGACTACAGTACACCGTTCGGTATATGTGGACGGACTGGCGGAGGTCGCACTGGAGGAAGGCCACATATTTCCACTCTATGAAGCCTTCCTTCACCCCACCTTCCCTCTGCGATATTGTTGTGATGTACACGTCCCAAAACCCTTCTGAATTATCTGCGCCGCGCAGGTATCGTATCGTGTACCACGCCAACTACGTTACCTACGCGCAGCGAGCAATCGAGCACGCGTTTGGCGCACCCGGTGTCCGCGTCCACAGCCTCCCTATCGTCAAGTACAGAGCGGCGGCCACTCTGGGCGACGAGATAGCCGTACAGGGAACCCTAGTCTCGTGCGACGACAGCAGCAGCGGTGGCGGGCGCTCGCGCTGGCGCTTCGAGCTGGCCGCCGCTTCCGACCCCTCTCGGGTGTTTGTCACCGCAGAGGCCACCGTTTCTTGGCCGGGAGGGGCAGCCATGCCCCCGGGTGTGGCGGTAATCAAACTGCCGAGGAGCGCGGAACCAACGATGAGTGACGACACGGAACTGCTGCAGCCCTTGCCCGAGGCGTTCACCGATCCCCCCAAGGCTCTGAAGGTGGTGGTGTGGAGCGATGATTTGGATGTAGGGGGGAATCTCTCGATCCGTGCGGTGCTCAACTATTTCGAGCGGATACGCACGCTCAGCCTGGGGAGAGGTCAAGACGGCGAGCTTGGGCTGATGCGACTGCATCGAGAGGGAGTTTCCGTGGTGGTGAGATTTTTGTTTTTTTTCTCCCATGTGCTCGGGTGGTGTGGACTTGAGACTTTGTTTCCGAGTGAAACGAGTGCCACATAAATAGCTTCTTTCGTGGACGAAAACAACCAAATGTCCACGAGCGGCGTTTGCAGCGCCGATTCATTAGTTCCAATGTACGGCCACAAGAGGAGGGACCCCATAGTGCTCTGTACGTCCCGCCCCTGATCCGAGGCATCTCTGGCCTACAATCGGGGCAATCGTGCGGAGAAGCACAGTCACCTACAGCAGTAGACTGGTCCAAGAACTCTCGCCTAGTCAACGTTTTTGGGGGTTATTTTTTCCAAGGAAGGGAGCCGACTGTGATATACAGGTATGGGCGGCGCCGTAGAGGCCGCGAAGACGGTGAGCGAACCGCTGAAGAACTGCCAGCATGTAAGCTAACGAAGAGTGCACCAAGCTGTTCACACGAAGGCTGTAAAGGCCCACCGTTTCGGAGAACCTGGGGGTCTCCTTGAGAAACGTACCAGTAGCCTCTTTTTGTCACGAACCGCCAACCCCCAATTCCTGTGTGCACTCACGTACGTGTCCAGGTGACAAGCATATCCGATCTCCGCGTGAACAGCGACGGCTTGGTTGCGGGAGAGACGCTGGACGTGCGTCTAGGAGCAAAGCTATCCAGGGGCAACCGGGTCATGACCATGTACGAATCTCTGTGGAAGGAGAACGGGACTCTCGTCGCGCACGCGGAGATCGCGCTGTTCTGCATGGACAACGAAACTCGCAAGTTTCGACCGGTTCCCGAGTGGGTGCAAGTAGCCATAATGCTGCCCTCTGCCGTCCTTTGAATGCGGAGGGGAGTGTCTGCCTCAATCCATGTTATTCGTGCAGTTCTTCTACCAGAGGCGCAGGGTTACCTTATTCTGGCAATTTTTCCACCAGTGCATGTTTCCCTTGGGGTGTGCAGAAGGTTGGTGCGATGGTTTCCTCTTCATACCTGGGTGCCGCCGCAGCAACTGAAGCAGCTACAGTAGTGCTAAAAACGGTCAAGAGCAGGAGTGCCCAGTCCGTGTGCGGTTGCACATTGCGTGCACGCACAAGCAAGGGTACAGCCCTTGACTTGTCGGCAAACCACCACACGGAGACGGGAAATGTCTACCCGTTCCTGGTGCCCTAAATTGTGGGTGCTTTGGTGTCTCCTCAAGCGTTACACTTTCGAATCAACAGCTGTGCGGTTCTGCCCGTGACACTGCATTCGTCTAAAGCCGCGGCAGCGCCCTTACCCCATGATACTGCTGTCATGATGTCGAAGCTGTGCAGTAGTAAAGATCGGCAGCTCCTCGCGAACATGGTAGAGACAATGATGTGTACTTCGTCACAACGATTAACTCTTCCGTGGAGGATATGGACAGAGGAGGGGAAGTCAAGCGGCGGCTTGCGTCCTTGCTGTGCTGTTGCAGGTTCTTGAAGGTCCAGACCCCGATGCAGATTGACCAACACTCTACCACACGATCCTTGAAAACAAGAGATGGTTCTCCCAACCCGTGGACCTGCGCATTCCCCGAATCCGGTTCAGAAAACCTGTCAGAATACATTAGCCTTTCCCAAAAAAGCGTTCTTTCAGCGAGAATCCCGAATCTTACCCCTATCGCTCGGTGTTACGCACTGCTGTGGTGCATGACAGGCTTCTGCTTCCCACCGCCTGGTTGACCTCGCGTACTATTCCATACAGAACTTTTACATGTCGCCGTCGAAGTACGACGGTTCATCCTCAAAATCCCACAGACCACCCTGATGCTCTGGGGGCACCGGCTCGACAATCGCAGCGTTGTACAGAGAGGGGACGGGTGGCTCCATGATCAGATCGCGCATCTTGCCCATGCCCCCAGCAGCAACAACGAACCCCCCGAGCTCCCCCTTGCCCTTTCCTTCTCCTCCGCCACCGCCACCGTGGCTCTTCTTGAACGCTTGGCTGGTCATGTACGTGGGGTCCGTTGGCAAACACAAAAAACATCATTTCCGAGATAGAGAAGCGGCACCCGAGCCAATGATTGGTTCGCGACGGTAAAACGCGCAGGAATGTGAAGAAGTCTGCAGACCCCGTACCACGTCCGTTTTCCTCGCAGCAGCATGAATGAAAACGTTGGGCTGCGGTTGTGGCACACAAGCTAGATAATTCCTTTCTTCGCTTGGAATGTCTCGGCTTAGGATTCCGTTCTGAACTTGTGGAGGTAGGTGTTCGTGGAAGCTAGCCCCGGTGCTTCAGTGGGGGGGGCGGGAGGAGGCAGTGCCTTCCCCGGCAAAAGGCCCTCTCGAGAACTACTCACTTCGGAGATTTCATCAGTTTCTGGAACGTGCGTGGGGTGGAACACGGTTGGCATGCAATGGCTTACGTTCAAACTCTGCGAGGGCAACAACTCCGCCAAAGCGTCGGTTATACGACGAACAACAAGCCCGCTCTACCTGCTCGCACCTTCTCTTCCACTCCTCGAAATCCATCTGATGCGCCCAGGTGGTGTGAGAAACGAACTCCGTATAACCGGGTCTGGCCGCGGGCGCTCCCTCTTCCTCCTCCTTCTTCTCTGCCTCTCTGGTGTCGACCCTCAGCAGCATGAACTGCTCGAAGCCCGAAAAGCTGGCCAGCTTGCTCTCTCGCTCCCTGTGGAGAGAGGCGCGACGGAAGGGATCAAGGCCTCTTGCCGCCCGCGGTCGTTGCACGCATGGGGCACAGGACAACTAGGCGAACGATAGGCCGTCATTTCGAACGGCTGTCCCAACCACAGTGCAGAGCTAGCTGCAACGCAAGCACACATGGGTGCTGGCGGCAGCGACCTCGCCTTTCTCACCACTACAGGCATATTCCAAACAGACGCGACCGTATCCCATTTATAGGCACGCCCTATTGCAAGCGTTTTGCACTAGAGAACACCGCGATGGAAGCCTCTTGACAAGGCTACCTCTCTCCGGAGTTGCTTAATCTAGAACTACGTGACGTAGCAATCCGGAAAGAGACGAAACTCCGAAATATGTTCGCCACGAAATGTGAAGTATGTACGCCACTTGAACTCACCTCCACATGGTTTCAAACTCCTCCTCACAGCCAAGCTTGACCTTGAACCTGGAGTGGACATCCAAGCCGAGGCCGTGGTGTGCAGGGGTCAACGTGCCATCATCACTCATACCAATGATCAATCATACATGGCTCAAAACGCGTGCATATGGCCTTGAGGAGCGGGGAAGGAGAGGCCCTGGATGGAGAACGGAACGATTGTCATCGAGTGACAACGCAAGCGTAACAGCTACCATCACCGGCATGTAGCTATAGCGGAATGGGAGTAGTTGAAAGCGTCAATAGTTGTATACGCACGCGTACCATCTATGTCTGAGCTAGCAATGCGCAATTCACCATCTAACTACGGGCACTGCTGTGTCATTGCGGTGGGCCCTCTCAGCTGCGTGTCAAGCACTTCACACACCGACTGCTCTAGCAAACTACGCCTGTGTTCCGCACTGCTGCGTTGGCAGCGGCTTCCCGGAACATTGTCCAAACCTCTGCTTACAAGATGTTGTTTTGACATTTGGAATATGGGTTTTAACCTAGGTGCTGTCACACGAAGCGGGACCTCACATTATCCCTAACCATTAAATGTGGAAGGCGATTTATTTGCGCGCGCAACGGTCTGGCTTCATGCTCGAGGAGGAAAGGAACGCCACCAGCCGTTGTAAAAAGTAAGCCAAGCACCGCAGAGGGAAGGTCGAGAAAACTAAACCCTGTGTACCCTTCCTCCTGTATGACCCCGGCTGGTGCAAAGGTGTAAGAACCGACGCCTAGAATACATGGGATGGCACACACACGTAAATCTAACCATTTGTTGGCGATTCGAGTTCTCAGTAAGTATGCGACCCTCTTGAGAGCGTATAGCTTGAAAAGGTGCAGGTTTCATGACTCCCTTTGCCTCCCCCTGCTCATGCGATCCCACGGGCCGTGGGCTGGTGTAGTGCCATACCCCCTCCATCCCCCCGTAGCCCTACGGAATTGGCCTTCGATAGCGTATGACTTCCTCAACGACTGCTCTGATAGTCTTGAGTGTATCAGTGATGATGCGTACTTCTAGATTATCGTTTGGTTGCAGTCCCTGACCCCCAACGGTTGCTCACCGCTCATGGAAGCAGGAACCACTCTCAGATGTGTGAAACCACGTCCCCAAAGCGTATCAAGACTATTTTGTGCTGTAGAGACGAGGGTTGTTGTCGCTCTCACGTATCGTATGCTCATCAAAGGCAACACATGTCTTCATCTGGCGGCTGTGCGATGGAGGCCAAACATGCAAACCCGACCAACAACCGATCCCGCAATAGGCTACAATACACTTCCTATTGAAACAAACCCAGCAGCAGGCTGGGGGTGGCTGGCATACTCTCGTCGTTACCTGTTCATGGCGATATAGCGCATGTTCGGTGGGGTGTTGTTGCATCTCGTTGATCGTCTCGCTTGTGGAGAGGGTAGTTGCGCCGCTCTCATATTCAACTCCGCCCTTGATCCCAACGGCATCACGAACGCGGACGCATTGCTGCAGCAGGCCAACAAAGCTAGAAGACTCAACTTCCACGCCATCTTGCGTGTGACTTGTGCAGGGAAGAGCATGAACGTGTGTTTGCACGCGTGCATGTGACCGGTACCTCGCGTGTGGACAAAAAATGCAGCGCGCGGCATGGGAAGAACCTGCCTCCATTCCGAACTTTGTTGGAACACCCAGAAAAAAAATGAAGCAGTAGCAGTGTTGAAAGATCGAGCTGCACGGCGTCGGCAGCCTGTTTCCAGCCATCTGGCTGGTCATCCGGCCACGCAGTCGTCCCCTTAGACGTCTGGAGACAGAAAACCTCCAGGGAATATGGAGGAATCACCACAACTTTCGTTTTCTTCTTTGCAGAGCGGCGTACGAGACGCAATTTCCAAGGTGCGGCCCAACTTGCCAGCTCCCACAGTTGCAGTTGCTGCCTTTGTTGTTGAACGGCTATTGCGCAGACCAACGCGGGCTTTGGGGCTTTGGCCCTTCAATTACTACTACTTATACGCGACTTTCTTCAGCATTGGAGGGCAACTATTAAATGCCAATCTCTTTGATGTGCGGCCCCAGCGCGTGTGCCGGTGTGCCTCTCTCCTACACCGGCACTCAGATCAGTCTACAAAAAGCAGTCGCACAGCGCTTCCGTTCACAACGAGAAAAGGTTACATGAATTTTGCCCCAAAAGAGTAGCGTCGCACTGCATTCCTGCGTGATAGTTACGCACGTGGATGTGTATAATTCCCCCAACAGCGTCGCACGTGGTGACATTGATTTGCTTGGAACTCTTTCACAATGGCACCGGCGCTGTCTATAGCGGTGCTGTTGGCACCATTGGAAGGGTACACGGACTGCAGGCGATCTCGTGTGATGCCCGGCAGCATCAGCAGCGGCAGCAGCAGCAGCAGCAGCAGATGCTTCCGAAGATGCTGGACAGAGGCTGCTTGCAATGGTGGAGACGGCCCCCACCCAACTACACCGCTCACGTCTTGCGTCCACACGCCTTGTCGTATCTATTTACACAGGTGTTGGAAGTAACCCTGCAGGATCGGAAGTACGATGCGTCCAGCATCGAAGAATGGTCGGATGCGATATGCTCCCAAACGTTGGCTGCCCTGAGAAGTATCAGCGGCTCTTTCAAGTACACCGGTACGTCTGTACACTCTCTTTGGGGTCGAGTTTCGCAGATGGCGCCCTTGGCGATCGATGCACGTTGAACGTTCCGTGTTCTCGTAGGAAATGAGATAAAGAGAGCGATGGGACGTCGACGCTATCAAGGAGGAAACTTGCAAGCGGCATGCGTCTTTGGACATTAATACTGGCCTTAAACGGCGGCGGTTTCAGAAAAGGAAGAGAAGATTTCTTGAGTTTCGTTGGGCATGGCAACAACGGCGTATGCTGGGAGCGCCCAAGTGTTTTGAGGTTCTCTAGGAGTACGAAGGGTTGTGTTCCCTTTATCGACAGGAATGCATGCAGGGTGTACGATCTACACGGGGCAAGCGTTGAATTAGACCCCGTATTATCTCGGCCATCACAATCACACACGACGTGTTTCCGGGTCGCTTAATTGCCGGTATCATCCCCTGCCCTGCCCTGTTTCTGCCCCCCACCCCTCTCTCCCGCTCACCCTCTCTCCTTCTCTCTCTTTCTCCTTCTCTCCCTATCTCCCTCTTGCTCTATTATCATGCCGTCCGCGTCTCCCTTTGTCTCCGCTTGGCTGTCCGCCATTCCACCTCCCTCTGTGCTCTAAATGTATTATTTTCCCGGAAAACAGTCACGTGCGTGCTGACACAGAAGACGGGAGGCGGCTTTCACACCAGCTCGGCTGCATGTTACGAGCCCTCGACCGACGGGTGCGTGGTGGAGAGATGGGAAAACCAAAGCATCCTCGCCATCGTGGTCGTCTTCGGGTGCTCCTTGTAGAAGACTGCGCTGCCCCTCTAACAATCTATTTCGTGTGTGTTTATCGTGTTCCGGGCGATGACCCTGTTTTTTTTACTGTTGGGGACTTCGCGTAAGACCCGATGACAAAGTACTCATTAGGTGTGCACCCCTTGACACAAGAGAAAACCCCGCGGCGGTACAACAGTTTCGGGGATATGATGAGTGGGAACTTGCGTAGATAGTGACAGCGTCAGGTAATTCATCGGGAGATCTCCGACTGGGCTTTCCGCGCTCGACTTGATCCAGGCAGCGATTTTACTCCCTGGCGCTTTCCCCGCGGAATCGAAAGTGGGGTCCCCGGTGCACAGGACAGATAAATACACACGGAGGAATTCCTTGTGTTCGTGTTTGCTCCCCCTATCCCCCCGCAAAGAACTGGGTGTCGTTTGGTGTGTTCGTTTTTGAATAGTTTGTTTAGCTCGTTGTCACTCAGAGCCTCTTTTGTTCGCCTTGCTGCGGCTATGAGCGTGGCCACACCATTGTAGAGTTATATATGAAGAGAGTGTCTGAGGGGTAGCGCCACGAAGGGTCCTTCGTCTCTCACACGCCAGATCGAGTCTCTAGGTTGGCATCTCGATGTAAACTGTGATCGGGCGGCTCTTTGGAGATCCACCTCGGGCTTGTGGTTGCAAGCACGAGGAGTACGTAGGGAGCATCCGATGACTGTAAACTGAGGGCGCATGTGGCCCCTTCAGCATTCGTAGCCGGGGGAGTTGTTTGCTTGTCGTACAGAAGCGTTTGTAGACAGCGGCGGCTGTCTATCCCAACGGAACTATTTGATAGCGAATTGCGTATACAGTTCCGCGCCGTGGTTTGTTGTGTTTTTCTGCGTGGTGCACACTTCCGGCGGCACACTTCGACTATCACGTTCATATAGGAATGGCTGTCGGCTTGATCTATAGGCCATGTTGCTCAATAGCACGGGGTGATGAATCTTCCCCACTGTTTCGTACACGCACCCCTTGCCTCGGTTTCTGTCGTCACCTACCCTACACCACCGCACGTTTGCAGAAACAACTCCTGCCACAGCTCCTTAAGTACTCCACACACCCCTGACTTATTTGAGCAAAGGGTCTTCATTCGGAAATGGCACACCACCGCACGTCGGTACAAGTTTACTGTGCGCGCGCTACAGATGACGATCATTAGACTGCCACAGCAGAGTTTCGTCACCGTATCTACCATCGGCGTTTTGAAGCGTTTCTGCATTTGAGATCCTCCGAACTTGGAGCGTGTCCGACTTAATTCTTGCCCCACCACCAAGTACCGTCTGGACACACTCTACAAAAATGTGGCGCCACACATGTCCGTATCCAAAACCTGTTAAGCTTAGCTGATGTAATACCCACAATAAAACCACGTTCATGAACGAGCACCAGAGGCTAAACCACACGTAGTTGCCCTTGTCTTAACACGAAGTGAAAGCCCCGAAAAGATGTGCTGGATGCCTTTGTTGGCTACGGAGGCACACGTACACACACATGCCACAAAAAGACCTACCCCCTCATACGAACCACCAACGGGGCCTCAGAGCCACTCGCCCCGGGTCTTCGAGTTGAAGGGCAGGGTTGCTGAACGGCCTTTTATGTCGCTCTGGCGTCCACCCGACTGCTGCGGCAAGCTCCTCGACTAGCCCCACCTCAGTGTAGGGGAGAAATCCCCTCTCTCTCCGCCGCTTCGGCTCCCCCCTGTTGCTTCCTTTCGCCAGCGCCCGTACCCCTCGGTGGTCAGAGCAACGGCGCTATGAGAAGTGGCCGCGGTAGCCGCTGGCATCACCCGGCACACCGAGGACAAGTCGGCGTCGGTTGCGTACGGGGTAGGCCGGCGCTCCCTGGTCTGAGCCGAATACCTCCGGTTGTTCATGACGGAACCATCCGCAGAGTTCTTGTGTTGACTCAGGTCCCGCGGAGATGATCGCGATCGACGCATCTCAAACGCCGTTTCCGCGCGAGGCCACCGACTCTTCCCCCGACCTCCGTGTTGCTCTGACGAGTGACCGCCTCCGGCCGTGTTTCGAGACCCCGTCACCGGCGACGGCGGATCGAGACGGAAAGAACGAGCGCCCAGCCACCCATCTTGCCGCAGGAGGTGTTGGACGGAGGATCGGGCCCAGTCCCCGTAGCGCCGTTCGGCTCCCAGGCTAAGAGACCGTACCCGCCTCAAGCCCGGACCTACGTCACCATTTGTTCCGGTCCGGCGCCACCCAACACTGCCGCTTCTTCTCTCGCGACGGCCGCCACCGCCGCGGCAGTCTTCGTCGTCGTCGCACCTCGACGTGGAGCGCATGCGCTCGGACCCGAACCCGAGATCGCTGTCCCTTGGGGTGTGGGAACGGCCGCGCCTGTGGCCTCGGCCGCCGGTGTTGTTGTCGTCGCTCCACGCCCTGCCGTTGTCATCGGCAGTGGCGGTAAGGGGCGGTGCAACGCCGCGGGTAGAAGGGGTGCCGAGACTGTCCCACCCTCCTCTTCCGCGCGAGTAGCACGAAGACAGGGATTGCGAACGTCTCGTGGCGCGGACAGAGGGAGAGGGGCAACACGGAGAAACGGAGAGAGGGTGGAAATATCTTGGTTGTCGGGTAACAGAACGGTACTAAAATGTCTTTCGGGGCGGATCGAGTTGACAAGGGCACGCACGCTAGGCTTGACTTGCGCCAGACCAAGAATAGAAAGCATGCTACTAAGATTGGATGCAAATGCCGTCGCCGCGGCAGCGAACCCTATGACACGTCAAAGAGCAAAGCGGAGAAAATGTTAGTCTACAGATAAATCTCTTGGAACTCAGAAGGGACAGACGGCATTTTCGCCTCGCTGTGGCTGGGGTGGTTTGTAGTGTTTGATACCGTACAGGGCGCGGCATTTGCTACAAAGTTTGAACAACGCCATTCAGAACCACATTCTCGATTGCCTATCTCCGCTACCTCATCTTGATTCCAAGCCCTTGGCGAAAGCGCCTCTCAGCCTCCAAACCGGTCTGGTCCCTCAGCCCCACGCGGTCCCCACCGCCGCTACCAACCACAAGAAGCGTCTGGCCGTGGCTCTTCGTGCGGACGCCGGTGAGCGTGCCCCCCGGAGCCGGAGCCGGCGACTGCCGCCTCTTCGGACGGTACGAGTCGGGCCGAGGACGGTTGTTGTTTGCCCTGCATCCCCCTCCGGTCGAAGCCGGAACCATGGTGGTGGTGAAGTTCGGGTTGGCGCACCCGCACGTCGCCTCGTTAACGTGGAAAACTCCTCCCTCGAGGTCCTCGCGCGCGTCCGCGGGCGGCGCTAGTTCCATCGCCCGGCGACGAATGTAACCCCCGCCTTCTCCCCGTCCTTTACCCGCGACTCCAGCAGTAGCGCCGCCGCTGCCGCTGCCACCACCGGACCCCACGTGCTGTCGGTTGTGCTGTCTCGACTTCGTCGGCACCGGGGGCGCGGAGGAGGGTCGCTCTTCTTCTTCGGAACCTGAGGCGGTCCGATGAGCGTCGGGAGGGTCCCCACGGAGTGGATGCAGGTCGAGGGCCTCGCAGAAGGTCGGGTATGAGACCTTCCCGCGGCGGTCGGGATCCGTGGCGGCGATAAGGGTATCGAAGTCTTCGTCCCCGAGGGGGACTCCTAGGGAGCCCAGGCCGGCTCGGAGCGCGGATGGTGACAAGGGCGAGGGTGTGCGGTCGGGGTCGTCGTCGTTGTTGATGGTGCCGTTGCCACTTGTGGTCGGGGCGGCGGCGGTGGCGGCGGCGGCGTCGCAGTACCCTCCTGCTCTTGCTCGTCCCCGTTGGCGGAACATGTCGAACACCTGTGGCGGTGAAGATGACAAGCCGGGCGTGAGGGGGGCACGATTCGTGTCGATTCGCGTCTGACAAAACGAACGGTCATCTCGATTCCACCGTGTCCTGTCATGTACAAGAACCAATGTCGACCAGAGCAACCATTGGTAGAGCTCGGCGAAGTGATCCTGCCGATCCAGAAACGAGAAAGTGCACCGGTATGTTGCTGTCCGCAGAAGCAACCCGACCAAGTTAAATACAACGGATTTCAGTCAAAACGAAAGTCGACTCACCGGCCAGGCGCTGTTTTGCTTCTCCTGGATTTGTTTCACGCCGTCCCGCAGCCTCTGGAACACCAGGGCCTGCCGGCGCGACTCTTTGTGCTGCCGGCCTCCTTTCAGACCGACCCCGCGGGAACCCTTCCGGCCACCACCCCCGGCCGGCGGCGCGTCCCAATCGAGGACGTCGCTGTGGCGCCAGTGGATCGCGGAGCCTCGGCCGCTCGTGGGCAGCCCTGCCTGGTGTTGGAGCTTTCGCTGGGTGCGCTCCCTGTGCTCGGCGACCTCCGACGCCCGGAGCGTGTCTAGGAGCTCCTGTTTGTGGAGGACCAAAGGCGTGCCAAAGAACAATGTATATATAAAGCATGTCGTGGCAACCACACTGGCGGCGGGACCTCGGGAATAACGTTGAGTGTTGGGGTAAGTCTTGTCCTGCCTACCCCCGCTCGCCCGTTTCCGTGCCGCTCACGGCTTAAAGTCAACAGCGAGAGGCATGTTTTCGCAGTTTTACTCTACAGTGCGAGAGTTTGTACGGAAACGCCGTGGACGAAAGCTAGGCAGAGAGACAGTGGCAACACGAAGGTTGTTCCGAGTGTAGACAGTGCTGATCACATCGCTGCCAACCAGGGGGCTGTTTGTCACCAAGGCGATATAGTTTCTCGACGGGAACATGCTGAGAGAGAGCACGTGGGATTCGGTGTCGCTCACCCTGTAGTGAATGCGGTCGCGGCCCTTGCTGATGCCCTTGAAAAGCGCTCGGTGCTCTATCTCGGACAACGTATCCGATCCCCCCAGGATACGCAGGGCTTCCCTGAGCTCCCCGGAGTTCACGGTTTGGGTGTGCGCTGGATAGTGGAATGGAGATAACAAAACGTGGACGGGAGGGTGGGTATTGTGTAATGGTGAGGGAAACCGCATGGAAATAAGTTGGAGGTCGAAAGAACGAAGCAACAGTGCTGTCGAGACGGTAGCCACATGTCTCTTTTTAAGGCCCACCCTGCGATTGAAGGTCGTCATTCGGCAGAGGGTAGTCTAATGTCAAACGACACCACTGTTTTTGTGCGCTGTCGCTAGATCACCCTTTCCATTGTAATGAACGTGAACAACACATCTACAAATCGAAGAGGAGAGCGAAAAGTGCCGAAGAAAAATAACGGTTGATTCCTGTTTACGTCTACTACACCATAGTCAACGCTGACTGATGGTGCAGTGGTCATCGTGCTTCTCAACAGTTCCAACTTCAGCCGAGAGCAGCAGAGCCGCAAGGCCAGCCTTCACAACGACAACCCGATCTCTTCAATGCAGCATCGCACCTTGGTCCACCAGCCCGAACACGCAGTCAACACTCCGGGTTCCGTGCCGGTCTAACAACGCGAGCGTCTTGGCTCGGGCCCTCCTCACCAACTGACTCGCTTCCGCCGGAGCACCGCCTCGGACAAAGTTGTCGTCGGCAGCATCGGGCACCCCTCTCCTCCAATACCTCCGCTGGCTGTGCCTAGTTCTCCCCCCTGCCGCAGCGCGCATCGGACGAGACCCTCTCCTCCGACCCTCTCCGGCGGCGCTCACCGACGCCGATCTCGCCCGCGTGCCGCCGCCTCCGTCCCGCGACGATGAGTGCTGTTGATCCTCCCAGCAACCACGCCCAGACGACTTCGACGGCCCTGGCGATGGCGTGACCCCCCGTCCATAAACGCCGCCCTCTTGGACCTCCATGTTGTCGAACAGACGGCCGTAGTCGACCATCGAGCGGCCGTTGAAGTCCTTCCGGTAGCACGCGGCGAGATGCCTGGCCTCATCGTCCTCGAGGCCAGTGCCGAACCGGCGCAAGATAACCCGCTCCATCTCCCTCCGCGATATCACCCCCGAGGCGGAAGGGTCCGCCTTCGAAACGGCCCTGCGGAGACCGACGAGGTCCCCCCGGGAACGCAGCTGGAGAATCTTTTCCGCTCGAGCCGCGACCGCTTGCGCTCTTGCGAGATGATCCGGCGCCTCGGTGTCGGAGACGACGACATTTGTTTTGCCGGTGCTCGCAGCACCACCGGCCCTCATTTGTTGTTGTTGTCTGCCACCGCCGTTGGCTCCGGCCCCGTTAGGCGGAGGAGGGCTGTCCGCCCGGCAATCTTCTTCTCGGGAGCGGCGATGTTCTACCCTGCTCAAATCTACTCTTTGCTTTCCATCACCGCCCCCGCCGCCGCTGAGTCTTGAACCAGCCTGATGCTGAGACTGCTCCTGCAGTCGCCGTTCGCGACGACGTCCCCGGATTTCGGTCCCGAAGGACAACGAGCGTTCGTTGGACTTGTTGGTCTCGTCTGCAATCGGCGTGGATTTCACTTCGTCGAAGACCCCGTCTCGCTGCAGCAAGGAGCGCAGCGTTTGCAAGGATTGTAGATACTTTTGAGACGGCTGCAGGTTGTTGTTGTGGGTGTTGTAGTCGCTGTTGCCTCTCTTGGGGCCGGCGGCCGCAGGGCTGGCGCTGGTGCTAGTATCTCTAGAGTGTTTGTGGTGACCGTTCACGTTGCCGTCGCTTCTGCCGATGCTACTGCCAGTAGACGCCGGCGTCTTGGCGACAACGGCGTCTGCGGCATTGTTGCTTTCGTTTCGTCTATTGGCATTCTGTTGCCAGCAGTCGAAGGATAATGTGGACGGACCGCGATTGCGCGAAGGCCTCCCCGTTGTCTCCAATCTCGACCACTGTCGAAGCGGTTCCGGTGCCTCGGAGGGTGTTGGCGGAGGCGGGAGCACTTCTCCACCGGCATATCCCTTCTCGCCGTCGCGAACGATACTGCCGTCGTCCACCTGGGGGTGGCTGGTGTGTTCACCAGGTGAATGCAATGCCCCACCTCCGATCTGGGGTTCCGCTACCGCCCCAGGCACGCTCCCTGGTGCCGACGTAGGCCTTCCCTGCCAGCCGCCGTCCCTGCCGCTGCTGCCCCAGTCCCGAGTCGCCGCTGCTTCGAAGGGCCCTCTGTCGACGAGCCCGGTGCCTTCTCGGTCCACCACCTGCGCCAGCGCTTCCGCCTCGTGGGCCGTCAGTCCGATTCCGAGCCCAAGAATCCCGGTCCGAAACTCGCGGTAAGTCACGCGGCCATCCTTAGAGACGTCGAACGGCCGCAGTAGGTCGGACGGCAGGGGAGCTTTGGGTTCACCCTTGACTGGTTTGGTCGAGAAGGCCTTCAGGGCGCGATGCACTTCCTCCTTCACCAGTTCGAGGGCGCGCGGAGGGGGCACCGGCGGGGGCGCCGAGTGGATGATGCACTCGCCAACGTCATACGGAACGTCTCGGCGGGTCGGTGACCCGGCCGCAGTTGAGCATGTGGCTTGGTTGGAGATCTTCGGCCACCCGTGAAAATAAAAGGCGCGTGGTTTTGGTAATGGTTAGTAACAGCCTCACGTGCCACGGACCTAGACCCTCCACAACAACGCCGGCGTCGATACAATTGTATCAGGTGTGCACCGTCTGCGAGAGCACAAAAATAAATGCGCCTTTCACGATCACACCTCGGTTTGATGATGCTTCTGACTAACTACGGTGCCTGCGGTTGACGATCAAGCATCTACCGTAGTGCGCGCAGTCATGCATGCAATACCTGGCGGCGAGAAAGGCCGCTGCAGTACTGGCTCGTTGGACGTTTAATGGCTGGAGCAGCGGGTGTTGTAGAAAGCCGCCTGCCCAGAAAAAACAGCTCCCTCTGGCTAGATGTAGGTCACGACCCTTGTCAACAACAATCAACAAACAACTCACCTCTTGAGAATGAACGTGAACTTTAACACATCGTGCCACAATGTGCACACTTGACGAAATGGGTGCATCACCGTAAGTACAGTGCATTCTCCTGCTTGAAAGAGAAGCTCAGAAACCAGGATCAAGGTTACGCACACTCACTCTTTGGTGCTCCTTTCGCGTAAGGTATTGGTCGCGGTAGCTTGATGTCAAGTGCGCCGACCCGGTTCCCTCGTTGTTATTTTTGTGGAGCTTGTGCATCCACCGCGGGATCTGATCAAGTGTCCTATTGATCTCGGGACGCTGGCCACGAAAAACAGACAACGAAAATGAGAGGGAAAATGGTGCAGCTCTACACCAGCCGTATTGGCGAGTTTTCCATGTGTCATACAAGTACGCAAGCATGTCGTGCCATGGAGCATTTTTACGGGGAGACTCGAGACTAATGTTTGTGTTGAATTGCAGGTGTCCGCTGTTTTCTTGCACCGCTCGGTTATCTCCGTCTAGCCAACCAACCTGATTGATTACGCATTCACGAAAGGACCTCTGTGATGCCTCGAAGGCAACGAGTATGCGCTATCAAACGCGCGGGACGGAAGGGGCCGCTTGAAGCCACTCAAATAGTCAATGTTGACCTTCGTAACCATTCACCTGCTGCCGAGCGACGTTGACAACGGAACTGCTGGTAGCAACCTCCATTGCCCCCACAGTTTCGACCCCCCAACTTCCGCCTTAGGAAGCCCGCCGGCGAATCCCACCAGCGTCGGGCATACAGCTGCTGAGCGTAGACGAAGGGAGTCCACCGAAGGTGGCCGCAACTTCAGCCTTCAGGCCGCGTGCGGAGTGGTGGCCGGGACGACGAAAATCATCAGTCGGTCTGTTCGCGACGTATATTGGCGGTTTCACGCGAACACACCACCGAACGCGGCACGACTCCTGTCGGTTCGATGTCACGGTCAACCTACAGAGCAAGCAGTGTACGTTCAGAGTTCAGAGTCGTACAGCAGTGTGTCGTGCGCATACCCTGTGCAACACCGCCGCAGACAAAAGTGCATGTTTTGCGTATTCTGTTGGCCTTGCATACGTTCGTGAGGAAGGTGGTCTATGGCCTATCTATATGTACGGCGGTACAGTACAGAACGGGCCAAATTCTGGGAAGAAAAAAAGCTTAACTTTTCGCGAAAAAACTCAGCTCGATCTCGGCCACACCATAAGAAACGTCCCAATAAGCAACATGAGATTGCGATACCCCCAGATATTAGAAACAAGGGGTTCCTGGGGGGACGTGTCCAACAAGAAACGTCCCACCGACAATACTGCTGCTGGCATGCTCCCACTTCCTACCTAGCTCATGTTTTTATTCGTGGGGGGGAGAGGTTATTTTCGCGGCGCCCGGCGCGCCCCAGCGCCGCCGCGGGCTGCGCTACCCACCAGCCACTGCTACTCTACTGGTGGGTTTCTTGCTCGCCAGAACAAGAAAACATGAGAATTAACAGGGTGCGACAGCCGAAAGGAATCAGAAATTCGTTTTTAGAAATTGGGCCGACTTCGGTTGGTCCTTCTGCCCAAAAGAAGAAATTGAGGCTCGACCCGATTTTGACGTTTCTTATCTCCGGGCCCGTCCTGTAGTGGCCCCAGAGGCCTCTCCTCGAAATGTTAATATTTCTTTGCTGTAGATACCTTTTCGTGAAAACCTGTTTTCACAGAGAATATTATTTAAGCTGCCGTAAGCATAGGCAGGGTTGGATTGAGCAACAGACTCACATATTTTGTAGGAGATTTATTCTTGGGAGCGGGGTCCCACCCGTTGCTTGGTGCTTCGTCTCGATTTTAAGTGGCTGGAATAGAAGAGTTGGTGGCAATGGTGTGAGGTGTTTGCTACCTACAGCAGCAGTGCGCACCAGGGACCTTGGATTTTACCCAATGGCACTGACGTATTTTCGTTGTCCAGCCAGTCAGCTAGCGTGGTGGTCGATGCTATTACTATTCAAGACACAGACAGACAGTCACACGCGGCCGACCGTCTGTTGTCAATCGAGAAACTTGCACCCTCTCTATGAGGGAGGGGACGCCTGGATGGTGTAGCTTGTTGTCCACAGGGGAACCTCAGCCTAGCACTCGACACGAACGAGTCTTCTGACTCGGAGCTAATCGTCCCGGCGGTTCAAAGGCATCTAACAGACAGACCAGCTAGAAAAATTCGAGTAGGCCATCTTACACCTGTAGGGCGGTAGAAAATCTTCTGGCCAGCACAACGACTTTTCGAATCCATTCCCAATCTACGGGACCGACCAGAGATGTCCCTCGTGACGAGCAACATTCCCGACACCATCGCCTAGTAGTGCGACTTGTTGACCCCCGGCACCTGAACCGCCCGGAGATGGTCGACATCAAACTAATACGTACAGATCCCGAGCATGTCTCGACACCATCGTGTACTTCCGGGTATGTAGCGGCTCGAACGCTGAAATGCTTGTCGCCCAAGGCGACGCATGATGAGCGCAATTGAGACGAAACAAGACGACTAGATTCAAGTATAACAAATGAAAACCCAACACGGGCGCTCCTACTGGCACATTTGACCTACACCTGAGACACAGCGACACACACTGCTTGTAGTAGCACACAGCGCTTTCACGGCGGCTGCAACCCCCGACTCAAAACCGCTGCAAATAAATAGGTTAGAGCGCATCGCCTTTCCAACAACCACAGTCGAAATCCCACAAAGCCATGAAACGCTTTCGGCGTATCGCTTGCAGCCTCGGCATGTGTCAACTGCCCTGGTGGCCGTTTCTTTCACTATCCCCGCGGGAAAAAATCCGAATAACGCAATCCGAAAGCGGCAAGATTGCGGTGATATACAAACCGGTGATGCCGCTTCCGCCCCCGAAAGGACTCCACAAAGATGAAGAGGGGGAACGCTTTCAAATTCAGTCTACCCAACCGGGGCTCGACAACATGCTTGCTAGCGGCGCCTCTTCTTGCATCTCTCCGTGGTGGTGCCCGCCTTTCCGCTGGAACGTCAGCAATCCAATCACCAGCTTCTTTGGTGCTGCTGAACAGCGATACAACTCGAGGCGCCTGGAACCAACTACGAAATCCCGCTCTGTCATTTTTCTCGTCAGTTCGGCAAACAACCCGTGTTCGGCAATTCAGCACCCCACCTTGACTAACGGCTGGAATGGAATTCCCTCCTTGTGAGTCCATGCGACTCGAGTCAGTCCAAAAACTTCTTGTACATGCATGGTTGCAGAGAGAGGAGGGGGGGGTGCACAAACAACGACCTGCAAGCCTTGCGGAGGAACAGAACGCCGAAACGCGGAGCTTGTGCATGGGCACCTCACTCCCAATTTACCCTCTTGTTGGGCATCGGGGCAGTGCCGTGCTCCGACTCGGCTTCATCGTGGAGGGCGAGAGGGGTTACGGCGTAGACTGCACGCAACGTGCGACCGCCACGCACGATGCCACCCCACTCCCTCCAAACACAATCACCTCTGCCAACCAGCCCATACAAGAAGAGCGCTTCACGCGCGTCGAACGAAACACAGCAGCAAAACCAACCGCGGCGGGGTAGTCGATCTCTTAGAATATGCCGTCCAGATCCCTGCAACGTGATCGGAACAACATTGGGATGAACCTGTAACGAGGACATGCAACCGCTGCGTACCTTCATACACCTCTCTACCTCTCCCCACACCAACAAACCCGTCCCGCCGATGCTACGCTATCACTTGTTGTTCTTGAACGGTTTTCCACCCCCTGTCCCAATAGAGGCGCCCCCTTTGTAGGTGGCCTTGCCCCAGTTCCACGGAACGTACTTGTGCTTGATCATATGCTTCACCTGCCGCTTCATTGTCAAGAACTTTTGTCCGGGCGAGCAGAAGGGGGAGGGGGAGGGTGTACTCATAGTCGTGCATATGCCGTAGTCGTTAGACCATTGACCTCGCATCCCTACAAAGCCGGGACGGAGCACGCCGGGTTCTCACCGGACCAGGCTCTCACATCACCAAGCGCGAAGCGCCGTGAGATA